GCTCTGTGTAGTTAATGCTGCTCAATGTGAAAGCACGCACGTGATGGAGATTTACCGCTGATTAAAGAACCGGATTTCTGACAAGATGCGCGTTAAATATCGCATGCGATTTATCGTGCAGCCCTATTTCAGTGTTGATTCAGCTCTGTTCAATAACAGTGTCGATGCTGCAGAGTTCATCAATTATGAAACACATTTGATTCATAATCGATTTAGTGTGAAAAATATCTATGAGTAGAAAGCCAATAAAACACATTTCCAGAAAGCAGCAGCAGCGTGCAACGAAGAAAATTAAATACTAGTGGTGATAATATTAATATGATCAAAGAAAGAAATGAAACTAACTCAAGATCTGACATAATAAAAATGATAGTTGTGTGCAGCCTGTGAGAAATCGAGCCAGAGAGAGAGAGAGAGAGAGAGAGAGAGAAGCAACGAGGGCTGGCGCACACATGACGGACGCTCTGTGAGCTCTGAGACGGCCAATCAGTGCGCTCGGCTCGCCCGAGCTGCTGCAGCGGAGGAGTGAGAGAGGATTCTCCCAGACACACACGCGCACACACGCATCCTAAACGGAGCAGAGCAGCACACGCTCGACAAGGGAGCGCAGACACGCGGTGACAATGGTATGCATGGGACAGAAAGTCTGTTTGGAAACTTTACCATACGCACCGGATGCACATGTTTGGACTTGTATCGTTAGGTAATGTGGAATATTTTCTATTTTCGTGCATCGTACAGAGCATGTTTTTTTTTTGTATAGTATGTAGGCAGAGAGTAAGTGAGTTATCTGAAGGAAGTTGCTGTGCATCAACCGACTGTAGAAAGTGAGTAATGCCACTTTATTTTCCAGCATGCACGAGACAAGAAGTCAACATCAGGATAAAAGGGATCTGTATTCATTGTGCGGTATCTGTTGAGTATCTCCTGCTGCGCCGGGCGAAGTAAACCGACGCTGTTCAGCCGTGAATGCGATGATGTGCGCTTCATCAGATTGCCAGACGCAGTTGAGAAGTGCATGTCTGCAGCTTATAAAGCTTATCTTCTTACAGCCGCACTTAAAATCCAGCGCTCGGCTGGAGCTCTGAGCCGGGGTCGCGCCGTCATCTAGACGGAATAAGAGGAGATAAGGGGCGGCAGATGAATGCTAATAATGTTTGGGTAGACTCCACTGCCGGAGGAGAAGTTGTTGAAGCACGTCTGCATGTGTGGTGTGGTGCCAGGTGCTTTGCTTCTGCTTAATGTCACATTTTTTTCAGAGGCAGCTTGTTTTTTTTTTATTGGTATTTTCTTTGCACACACACACACACACACACACACACAGAGAGAGAGACGTGCACACAAAGCTGTTTGCTGTTGGAGAAACAGTGTTGCTCTATTACAGCTCCTGAAAGGACGGTTGTGGATACAGAGCTTGTGCTGTCAGAGGGTTAAATGGAAGATTTCATAAGAAAGAAAGAGAACGATGGTGAAGGACATAAAGAAAGGTTTCGGAATCTGCCGTTTGTGGAGAGCATTCTTTTCTCGGCTCCTTCTTCTGAAATGATTCAATTTGGGCCACTTTGCAGAGGAGTTGGTTGTAAGATTTGAGGGATTTGATTCTCTCCAGAGAGCAGTGGCGTTCGACTGTATAAATCACCCTCAGACCATTGACATACAGGCCTAGTTATGTATGTATGGCAATGATGTGGACGTTTCCAACAGGAAAATCTAGTGCTTCTTGCCTTCTTCACATACCGTGACTTCAGTTGACAAAGCATTACAGAGCTGTTCCTCCTGAACCTTTTGGTTGCAGATTTTGTTGTGATTCATTATGATTCTTGAGCCTTGTATAAAGTGAGTGCCTTTGCTATTTGAGGTATTTGGGGCCACTTTTTGTCAAAAACTAATGAAAGGGCACAGGGAATCTGAGAGCCTCACACTGAGAGCAGGAATGGGATCACAGGGCAGATTCAAACCTGCATGTTCAGCATGAGCACCACAGCTCAACATTTCTGGAGTGTATGGGCTAGATACTAAGTCATGGCACTAACATTTTATTTGTCTTCTTCTTTTTATAATAATAATAATAATAATAATAATAATAATTCTTATTATTAATATTATTATTATTATTATTATTAATAATTATTGTTACATTGTATAATGTTAATAATAATATATTTATTTAATTGTATTTTTGAGCAGTCTTAGCTAAGTTAAAATCTATGTAATGTCATGAATTCTGATTACTGTGTAAATGAAATGTAATGTAAATATTTAAATATTTCTAAATTACAATATAAAAAATAACAAATATATAATATTAAATATAACACATAACCATGAATATAATAATAATAATAATAATAATAATAATAATAATAATATAATGACAATAATAATATTATTTAATTCAATATTTATATTTTTATTTTATTCAGTTATGAAACACATTTGTTTCATTATCAATTTAGTGTGTCAAAAATATCTATGAAGAAGAATTGTTGTCAGTGCAGCCTTGAGTAGAAAGCAATAAAACACGTTTCCAGAAAGACGGGGAAACAAAACAACACGGAGAACAACCAGCATTGTGCAATGAAGAAAACTAAATACTAGTGGTGATAATATTAATTTGATCAAAGAAATAAATTAAATTACCTCAAGATCAGACATAATAAAAAATAATAGTAGGCACTAGGCATGCAGTGTGTGCAGCCTGTGAGAAATCGAGTCAAAGAGAGAGAGAGCAAGAGAAGCTAAAATAGTAATAATAAATTATATAATGACAATAATAATATTTTTTATTTTATTTCTGAGCAATCTTAAAACCTGTATAATATCATGAATTCTGATTACTATGTAAATAAAATATTAAAATACTTTCAAACAGCACACAATATAAAAATATTAAATAAAATATAATATTAAATCTAACACATAACCATGAACATAATAATAATAATAATAATAATAATAATAATAATATTTTAACACTTGTTACAAACAGGGTAAAGGTTCAAAGATCGAATCCATCTCCATCTGGAATCCATGACTACATACTATCAATACCAATGGCCTTTTAAATACTTCACCGAGAGAAGGGACCATCTTTGAAGCGTCTTCTCATGAGAACATGCTGTGTAAATGGAGGCCACATAATAAATCAATCTTTGAACCATCATCCTGTTAACCTCTGAAAGGCAGTTCACACCAAACAAAGCAGAAAACCAGTGTCAATAAGTGAATGAAACCCTTTAGGCGTCATAACCTTCAGACCTGTGATGCTGCTCCTCTAATTCATCCTCTGCACAACTGACTCGTCCTAATAGAGCAGGAATACATGGCTGTCTAGTCCAGACAGCTCATTACTTCCTGTAGCCCTTTAATTAAGCAAATACTCTTGATGCTAAAAGCTGCCTGTGTCACAGTTCACAGAAAGTCATTAATACCATGAATTAGACTAGCATTGGAGGCTGATTTGGCTTTGCCTGCAGGAGGCTAATGTCTATACTTCTCTGTTTGTTGTGTTAGCATGTCTGCACAAGTGTGGCTTATTGCTAAGTGTTGAGGCAGTGATTTCAAACAGCACTTTGAGGAGAGAAATATTGTTGGGAGACAAAAAAAGCCTGCAATGAAGTGATTATCCTGCTGTGTGAGATTGTTAAGGATGCTTATAGTTGTCATGAAAGTAGCGATTTGTCTCGGTAAGAGAGAAGAATGTGTGATGAAACATGAGCGTGGATCACAGACAGGCTGTGATGGCACATGCAGTCTTCATCCTTGCGTTGTTTACTTGTCTACTGTTCCTTTGGTTTGTCACCTGTCTTCTCTCTTTTCCCCTCTTCTCTATCTTGAATATCATTGTACCTTACTTTATTTCCCACCCTGAACCCTCTCTTTCCTTTCCTCTTGTTTTCTTGTCCCTTCATTTTTATTTTCCACTTCCTCTTTCGTTTCCATTTTACTTCATTTTCCTTTTTTTATTTCACGGTCTCCTCCCACTTTCATTTATTTTCCTCTCCCTTTCCATTTTCTATTCTTGCATCTTCCCTTTTTCTGTGCCCCTTCTTTCTGTCCCTTCTCTTTTCTTTCCCCTTCCTCTTTCATTTCCATTAATCTTCCCTTTCCCTTTTTTTCACTGTCTCCTTCCCTTTTATCTGTTCACTTTCCCTTTCCATTTTCTCTTTTTGTACCTTATTTTGCTCTTCCCCTTCTTTATGTCTTGTCACTTTTCTTTTCCCCTTCTTCTTCAATGTCCATTTCCACTTCCTTTATCACCCCTTCCCTTTTCCTTTTCCATTTGCCCTTCTTGTTCCTCTTTTCCCTTTCCCCTTTCCTTCAGTTTTATTTTCCCCTTTTCATTTCCATTCCACTTGAATTTCCTTTTTGTTTCTTCCTTAATTTCTTCATTTCCCTTTCTTGTTCTTTGCCTTCTTTCTTTTACCTTCTCATTCAACCTTCAGTTCTTTCCCTCTTCCTCGTTCATTCCCTTTCCATTTCCCTTTTCCTTGTTTCACTTTACCCTTTTCCCTTTGGTTTTATATTCCACTTTCATTTATTTTCCACTTCCCTTTCCCCTTTTAAACACTTCCTATTTCCCTTCTTGTACCTTACCCTTTTCCATGTCCCCTTCTTTCCCTGTCCCTTTGCTTATCTTTTATTCTTCCACTTGCATTTCCTTTCCCTTGTCATACTGTATCTTGCCCTTTCCTTTTCCATTTCCTTTCTTGTTTTTCTTTTTCCTTTCTCCATCAGTTTTCTTTTCTCTTTCCTCTTCTGTTTCCATTCCTCTTCCTTACCTTTTCGTTTTTCCTTTTCCCTTTCCCTTCCTACCCTTTCGCTTTTTCTTTCACCTTCTCCTTCCTCTTTCATTTGTTTTCCTCTTCCCTTTTTCTTCTCATCCCTTCCATTTACCTTTACATTTTCCCTTCTTGTTCCTTCCCTTTTTGCTTTCTGATTCCTTCCTTTTCTTCCCCCTTCCCCTTTAATTTTCTTTCTTGTTCCTCTTCCCTTTGCCTTTCCATTCTCTTACTTCTGTATTTCCTTTTCCCAATTCCTTTCTTTTCCTTGCCCTCTCCTTTGCTTTTTCCTCCCCCTTTCCCATCGCTTTTCATTTCTCAGACCATCATCATATTCTAATTTCTTGTTGCACATTTAAGGGCTTTAAGGCATTTCACGACACCCTTGGTATTTTATGGAAGTACTATATTCATAAAGCTGATTTGTTTAGCGCACAAGGTTATATCACCTCATTTATCTCTCTATCACTTTTTATCCCTCGCTCTGTCATTTTTGAAATCTCCTAGCATTCCGGCATCTTTATCTGGTCTCCCACCTCAGGATTTCCCATGAGCTTCACTCCTCAGTAGCTCTCCTGACAGAACTAGTTATGTGAGAGACAGAACTCAGTAAAACAGAATATGGCTCACTTTAAAACACATACTCATAGACTCATGCAAGTCAATAACCCTCCCCCCCCCTCTCAAATACACAGAGGGAGGATTCACTAAGAATGAAATGCACACAATGACAGCACTATTTATTTGCTGGCAAGGTCTTATTTGAATGCCCAGTTCACTAAAGAAATTATACATACCAGTAATGGTGAAATGCAGTGGATGCAGCAGACTACTGTGATCTGCTGTACTTTATTGTAAATGTACAGCACTGCTTCTCCAGTGATCCAGAAACCGGATTCAACGCTTTAAAATGCAGAAAGTGAATGCATTCCAAGTTATAATGCTCTTCAACATTTGATGAAGAACTTGTTCCAGAATTAATAGAAATGTACATAAACATGTGTAAATAGCTTATTACATAATGCTTTCCATTGTCGGTAATAACGTAACTTGCAGCAGGTGAATAGTATATATATACAAGACCAAATTTACATAGAAAAAAGCTATGTTTGCCTAGAAAACGACAATAGTGACTTAATGTAAACACAGTGAAGCACATTTAGCATGCATTTAATGCTTTTCAGCTCATTTAGCACCTGCAAAACTGGCTTGTGAGTGGTTAGTGAATGTGTT